AACAGTCTTTCTTACTCAATTTGCCTTGCTCCTAAAGTTGGGATTAAAAACAAAAAAATCCGATAATTTCATGGGTCAGTCACAGTAAGATTTCAGGAAACTTTCCTTCGAATCATTGAAAGACTTGTAGTGTATAAATATAATGTTTTCTTGCCTCTTACGGATTTTTGGTGATCTTGAAATACCGTGGCCTTAAAATAGTCCCCCTGCAGCATAACTGATACCGTGGACTGCAACTTCTGCTGGCACCTCATGGTTACTGTGATCTTGACCATGATCCTGACTCCAGGGAGACTTGGGACAGCACCATGAGTGGAAGCCTGTGGAGTGTGCAGACAGATGCTGGGATGGCTGATGCATCGAGTCTCCTGCTGCAGGCTTACGCACCTTAAGGTTGCTGGGAGGATCTGATGTTGCCAACTTTCATGGAGTCACAGACTCTTTTTTTTTTTTTTAAGAGGGGGGCAGGAGGAGAGGGATAGAATCCCAAACAGAATCCCTGCTGATCATGGAGGCTGTCTCGGGGCTTGATCCCATGGCCCTGAGATTATGACCTAAGCTGAAACCAAGAGTCGGATGCTTAACCCACTGAGCCACACAGGCGCCCCTGAGTCAGACTTTTTTAATTGTGTCTGTCCCTTTGCATAGAAGGACTACAAGGACATACTGCCACCCAGGTAGTGAGGGTTTCCCCCTGCGGGCTAACAGGAGGACTGTATAAATATGCTTCCCCCTTCTCCCCATTACCCGTACCCACCTAGGGAAGGGAGAAGGCTGACCCATAGCCAGACGTAGTCCATTTCCTGGTGTTCTCTCTCCGAAATTTAAGGCTGTTTTCATGGTGTGTATCTGTTGATCACAATTCTCGTTTGTGGCCCAAGGAGACGTGAGAAGGACTTAGGTCTCTTTGTGGGATTTTTTAAAGCTGTTTATCATAGGCGCCTTTTCTCTTGAGTTCATTCAAAGGACCATGTGGAAAAATGAAAGGGAAAATGTGCACTTCTTGGTAAACATTTTAAAATGAGGCAAGTGATAGCAGTGCTTAGGAGAACAGCACGACCATTCTGCTGAGAACATAGAATGGCTAATATCTACTACCCTTGAACTTGGATTTCATCTATGATGTCATGGCTCCCCTTGTAAGATGCCCAAGAACCCAGACTTTGTGGCACAAAAGGCCTTTTGTGTCAGAGTTATTTCCTGTCGAGTGTGATTTGGTGCAGACACAGAAATATTTGAGATAAGCTGCGTCATTGGGAACCCTGATGGAAGTGGTCCCAAGGGTGGGCAGGCAGCTGGGTTTGTCACGGGCTCCGCTGACATTTCACTCGGAGGGTCTTATTGTACAGTGCCTCCCTGCTTGTGAAATGTTGAATGGTCATTCACGACCAGTGGAATGCTCACCCGCTTGAGGGCCTGTGCCAAGAGCCTGCAGCTGCGAGGGTTCCGTTTTGTCGGGAAGGGGGAGAGGAAGTGTCCATCCCTTGCCCTAGTTTACTGCAGGGACCCCAAGTGCACGGGCCAGAGCTGCCTCCTGGACACTCCCCTCCCTGGTCGTGGCGCTGCCGAGGGGCGGCATGCATTAATCCCAGGGACCCGGCTCTGCCCTTTCAATGGACACCATCAGAAGACACCATACACGTCTCGTTCCTGAAGCTCCACAACGGGGGACCGTAGCCAACCACACTGAATGAATGGAGATCCTGAAACAGAGAGTTTATTTGTAGTTATTTATATCTACCTTGTTCCTGAAGGTACTTCAATTTAAGGACAGAGATGAAAAGACTAACTTAAGAATAACCCCAAGGCAGAGCTGAAATTAACTTCTAAGGCATTGTTTTCAAAGGAAATGCTTCCTCCTTCTCACCTAAGGAAAGTACACATGAAATTGTTTTAAGCAGAGAACGGTCCCCATTCTTCGCTGTTCTTGATAGCTAGGACTAAAAGGCATCTTTAATGATCTGGCAGGCCAAGGTGCTTCCTCATGACCTGGATAGTAAGAAATATGTCCTTTTATGTTATTAATTGTATTTGTGGACCTTCCATCTTTCTTCAGGCCAGACACCATCTGGAATGTTCTGGTCTGTACGCGGACCAGTGTCTGCCCTGTCTGATCAGCAGGGAACGTGTGGGAGCCCATGTCTGTGGAGGGGCGCCTCCAGGAACTGCTCCCCCCAACAGAGGAGATGCATGGCTCTGGGGCTGGCCGATCTCTAAGAATTCTCTCCTCCTCCTCAGCCACGTCCCCCTGTGCTCCTTACATTTCTCTCCCTCTGCACAGGGGATGGTCTTCCTGCCTCTTCCCGATCGCCCTCTCTCCCCAAGACTCACTGATTCCTCCCCAACAGGCTGACCACCTGGTAGTTGCATACGGTACCCCGAACCTCTCTTCCCAAGAAAGCCCCGTCCTCGTCCCCGACAATAAACATGAACGGTGTTGACACGCTGGAAGTACTCTGATGATCGCGAAGACTGAGGGTAGCTTGTCAATGCCAGACATCCAGCCGCCCTCACTAATCACACACAACCACCAGTTGTATTCATCTCCACAGAAACTCTGTACAAAGTACATAATCATACATTGTATGTGCCTATTTTAAAAGGTCTCCAAGGAGGACATTTGCACAGTCTCCGGTGGTCACCTAGTAACAATTTCAGGGCATCCTCACTCCAGGTGGTGTGTCTTGGGGTTTACCTGTCTCTAGCAGGCAGGCTTCTTCCTAGTGTGCAAGGGCAGTAAGTGGGGCTTTGGGGGCGGGGAAGAAGGCCAAGGAACATGGCTTGCTGGGACATCCAGGGTCTTTCCCTTTAGGTCACATTCATTGGAAGAGGGCCCTGGGGGAGAGGTGGTAACTATCGTTGTCCATCCGCATGCACTGGAAGAGTCAACTGGTCTTCTCCATTGTCATCCTCCAGGCCCTTAAGGGTTTAGACCAGCCCCTCTCCTGTGACACCTCTTTGCCTCCAGGGTAGTTCAGGCCTTCAGACTGCACATTCTCTGCCTTTCCGGGCTTCCTCTGATCTTTCTGGAATGTGCTTACCCTGTTCTCTGGATTGTACTCTTGGGAAGTCTGGCGAGGTTGGTGTTCATCTTCAGCATGTAAACACAGTTCACAGAAACATCAGCTGAAGTCCACTCACATTTACTCTCCTATCTGGACCTTCTGCTTGCCTTGTAAGCCTTCCAAGAATGCGGAGCGCCCAGGGCTGTCAGCCCATCTAAGGGGAGAGCAGGAACCCACAGAGCAATCAAGGATGGTGCTGGCTGCAGGCAGTGGTCACAGCTTCTCCCCAGGCCCCTGGGGCGGGGGGGGAGGGGAGGCCATCCAGAAGGTCCCAATGCAACTGGAAACGGAGCCATGTGAGCCCACTGGCCTGCCCGCCTTCAGTGCACGTGAGAATACGCTGCAGCTGTGGCCTTACAAGGTCCTAAGAAACCTGTAGTTGCCGAGTGAAGGGGAGGAGGGTGGAGAGGCTAGAACTCTTCCTAAAGCAGAGCATCCATCACAACGGGAGGAAAACAGCCGCCGAGAAGCCAGGCGGGCTCCTCTCGAGGTCATTGGCGCACGTTATAAGGATCCCTAAGGATGTCAGCAGCTGAACAAAGCCCCGCCTCCCGACAAGCTGCCCCTTGTCCAAGCCCGAAGCCAGCCGGTGGTGCCTGGCCAGCTCCGAGCTCCCGTGGAGAGCAGCGCGAGCATTTCCCAGTGCCTGCCTTGGGCCTGGGCTCCCAGTGGGGCCGTCTCAGGGACGGCTGTCAGCTGTGGTCCTGTCGCCTCACAGCTGCAGGCCTTCAGGCCTCCCAGAGGTCTAGGCTGCGGGGCCGGGATGAGGCTGGGCCTGGCCGATGCTCACGCCGGGCTTGTGTGGGCTCCGAGTGGAAGGAAGGGTGAGGAGTCGGAGTCCTGCCAGCTTCCTGGCTGACACCGGGTCAACGCTTAGGGCACTCCCCCCACATCTGTTTAATGTAGTTATCTGATGGATTTTTACTCCAACATGATCTAGCAGTCAGTTCTGTTTCCTACCCATCGTCCTTCTCAGGATTATCTTTCCGAGGTTCTCAAGGGTGGGGGCTGGTGTCTCTGACTTCCTTTGTATTCGGGAAGTATTTGGCATTCCACACACCTCTCTCTCTCTCTCCCTTTCCTTCCCTCCCTCCCTCTCCCTCTCTCTCTCATTTACTCATTCAACTCACTTGTCTTCGCTGCCTTCCACAATGCCCTTCCTAGTCTTCCAAGCTATGCGGTTCCTTTTACCCTCCTATTCCTGCTTCCCTGTGAAGTCTTCTCATACCGCTGCAGCAGCCCCGCCCCGTGTTCTCATTCTCTTTTAAATTCTTGGGGTGTTTATTATTTATACCTCTAGTCTTACAATTCGTAAAATGTGTATGCACTCATTCGTTCACTGAACCGTCTACGCCCCCCGTGTGTCGGGCACTCTCCTGTGCACAGGGTGATATGAAGATGACTGGAAGCTGCTGGCCAAGAACTTGCAGTACGGTCAGGGACAAAGATAAAAGGCAAATAATCACGACTGGGTCATTATGCACTTTATAACCCGAGTATTTTGAGGGCAGTGCTAGCCTAGAGGAGAGAGGATCAGCTCTCTTTGGAGGAGTTAGGAAAGGTTTCAGATGGAGGCCATAGCACATCAGCTGGGTTTTGAAGAGTGAGTAGGAGCTTGTCAGGTGACAAATGGGCGTCAGGCAGAGGAAAAGAACCTTCCATCACCGCTATGACGGTATGGAGGCCTGAGAGAGCAAGACTTGCAGCAGCCTGTGACACTTCAGATGTTAAAGCCCCCATTTGTGATTGTAACATGTTCACGCCAGTGTTTTTCCAGCTAGAGGACAGAGCTCCTTGGACATTTATCCAAGTCCCTTTACATCTCAGGCACTTAATATTAACCCCAGTATTGCTCCCCGCGTGCAGTTTCCAAGCCAGGAGACGTGAGGATGAAGGTGATCAGCTGTGACCCATTTTGCTTCTGTGTTGGTTTAGACCAAGGATGCCCTGTTCAGGATTCTCCACGACCTCCGACCCCAGGATCATTTCAATATCATTGGATTTTCCAACCGCATCAAAGTGTGGAAGGACCATTTGGTGTCGGTGACTCCGGACAATGTGAGAGACGGCAAAGTCTATATTCACCACATGTCGCCCACTGGAGGTAAATACGAGACCTTGTTTTCTTGTTGCCTTTGACGTGATAATAAGCGAGTAGCTAATTTTCTGCCAGGAGACGAGGATTTGAAAGTTGAAGCCAATCACAGGAAAGGAGATAAAGGTGAGAGCTTTCCCAGAAGCTTATGTTTCTCTGAACACCAAGTCTGGAAATTCTCGTCTTCCAGGTCCCGAACTGATGGTCAAGTAAGTTAGGGGGGAAAATACTTGATAGGTTTTGGAGCCTTTCGTGGTTTATCTCATGGATCCGAACAATGAAGCTGTTTTTGGAAATTGCTCTTGGGTGAGGAATCAAAGCCAGAGATGGTTCGGTGTTTTGTGTGTTTGAATGTTTGCACCTTGGGGGGCAGCAGGGGGGACGGCGCTGCTGAACCATCAGCCTCTCGGCAGGGCTGCGCCAGCAAGTAGAGCATGCATCCCCGGTGGCCAGGGAGATGCTGTGCTTGGAGAAGTGTGATGGGCTCTGAGTCTTTGCACACTTGGCTTGGGTATGGTCCCCTGGGGAGAGTGCGGAGGATGGAAAAGGTCCCCCAGGGTTCTAGGGAGAGGAGAGAATCAGAACAGAACATTACCTAGCCGTGCTGGAGGCAGGTTCCTTCAGCGCAGGATGTGGGGCTTACTCTCGCTGCTCTCTGTTTCCAGTACAGTGGACCCATGACAGGTGCGCAGTGCGGGAGCGTGTATGGAAGCTCATCTAGACTCCCTCTGCCCCTTCTACAAGGGCCTTTACAGAGATGCCGTCTTCTGGGGCTATTGTCTTGGTTAATTCTAATTTGGTTATTGGGGAACATATAAAACATCCAGTTCAGTTTTCTGCTGGCATTTTTCCTCTTCCGTCCATGTATTATTTTCTTTCCAAGATGAAGCTGTGATTTCCCAAATGAACTTTATTTAGAACTTGATTTTGCTTGGATGGAACTCTGACATGGGATTTCCTACTGGTCTCCACAACAGTGTGGTCTAGGGACTGATTTACTGGTTAATGAGAGAGAGAAAAGATTGGATATAATAATATGGGAGAAAGTTGACAAGATCGTCAAGTCCTCGAGGGAGGAAACTCTTCTTCATCTTTGTATGACCCCTGGTTCTCAGCACAGGTCCTGACGTGTATAGCTCGTGCTCAATGAGTATTTGTTCAATTAAACGTTATTTCAGTGGCATTACTCATTACTAGAACAGTGTGTGTGTGTGTGTGTGTGTGTGTGTGTGTGTGTGTTGGCAGAGGGTGTGGGGATAAAGCTTTAGGAAACAGCTGATGTGTATTATGTTCTTTTGGAATCTACACCTTAGAAACCTAATTAGTTTCCTTTACTTTTCTCTCAGCATTTCATCACCCCAAGCTCTGCAGTGAACAGAAGGTCAGTCTGTTCCTCTCAGAGAAGGGGAATGGTAGGGTTGGAGCATAGGTTCTGAAGCCAGATTGTCTGGATCTGAAGCTAGCCCCACCATCTATAAGCCATTGGCTATGTCCGTGCCCAAGTTTACTCATCTCACATGTGGACGATAACATTGTTGTGATGAGGATGAAATCAGTTAAAATATCTGAAGTGCTTACAACAGTGGCTGCCACATGGGAAGTCCTCTTTCAGAGTCAGACATAGCCATTTTCACCCATGTAGTCCCTCTTGCTGGTGCACTTGGGTCCTCTGTTGACCCGGGGGGCTCTCGGCAGGATGGCTGGGGCAGCTCTGTGGGGGTCTCCCTGTGGAGCGTGCCCCCCCTGTTCTTAAGAGCATGGGACATGCCCTGGCCTCGCACAGGCTTGATTGCACGCCCCGCTGTGCCTTGGTGCCTGGTACTAGGAAAGCTAAGTCTGTCCCTTTGCCTGGGCTCCCCTTGGCCTTAAAGTGGAATAAAAAATTTGGCACCATTGCCAACTTCTCGATTAAAGGGAAAATAAACATCTGCCTTTTTGTCCGGGCTCATACATCCAGAGGTCAGCTGAAACTAGGCTGGGCATTCAGAAAGGCAAATTAATGAGCCCAAAGAAATGGTAGATACTGTTTCAGCTGTAACTTTCCCTTACGTTCAGAATCTGTGTGCATCTCCGAATTCTCAGTGTGTTTGCACAGACTAGACGTGTATTTTTTTTTTTTTTTTTTTTAGCCAGAAATTCTGGAGAATGTGAAACAATGGGGAGAAATCACCTGGTTCGCTCAAACATGGTACATTTTGCGGGTAGATAAAAATCACTCCAGACTGGGTGATGGATTGTGGTGATGGGTATACAGCTTTATAAATTTACTAAAAGTAATTAAGTGTGTACCTAAAGTGAGTGCCCTTTCTTTCCCCCTGGGACTCGCCCTCCCTCCAGATTCCTCTACCTAACCCCCTCCTGCCCTTTGCAAAGCTAGGCCCAGGAAAGGAGTAGGAGCAATTGATGCTAAGGTACTGAAGATTTCTAAGCCAGGGTGCCGTCAGATGCATTCAGGAGAAGGGCCATACAGTGGGATAATTCCAGGCCTTTCCCATTCATTTAGCAAACCCTTACCAAGTGTCTAGATAGGCTGGCATCACCCTGTAGGTCCAGGTGACTTCTTTCCCCATGCACGTCCTCCTGCTACCGCTTGAACGGTGGTGGGTAAAGCATCACCCTGACCGTGCGCCCAGGTGAAGGAGGCGGGCACACAGGCTTGAGCGGGGGTGCATTTTGGTGTTCCCCAGGCACAGACATCAACGGGGCCCTGCAGAGGGGCATCAAGCTGCTCAACGACTATGTGGCCCACAACGACATCGAAGACCACAGCGTGTCCCTCATCATCTTCCTGACCGATGGGAAGCCCACTGTTGGGGAGACCCACACCCTCAAGATTCTCAACAACACCAAGGAGGCCGCCCGAGGCCAAATCTGCATCTTCACCATCGGCATCGGGAATGACGTGGACTTCATGTTGCTGGAGAAACTGTCACTGGAGAACTGTGGCCTCACACGGCGAATTCTTGAGGAGGACGACGCGGGCTCGCAGCTCATCGGGTCCGTACATCTGTCCTCTCGAGACAGGGAGACTGGGGCTCTCAGAAGGGGATGGAGGGTGGTGGGGTCATAACTCAGTACACTGGGAGACGTCCTAAGGGGTGTTTAACCCAGGTCGATCTGGTTCCGATGCTGGGCCCTGCTTTGTGACTAGGCAAAACTGAAGCCAGTGTTACTCACTTTCCTCATCTGTAAAATGAGGATTATGGTCGGTTGACAACTGAGTGACAAAACCAGTGGCAAGTATTGTCAGGATGGCTGTTGCATGTTAGGTGTTCAGTTAGCTTGTCGTCTTCTCGACACTTCTAGCATAGTTGCTGGTACACTGTCTAGTGTGTTTGCGTTAATTCAGCTGAGGTGTACGTAGGAGACGTAGTGCTGTCTCCATTTTGTGTCCTGGTTAAAACCGGCCGCTGATTCTCTTACTGTTTTGAGGTGGAGAAGAAACTAGCTCTTAGGTTTTCTAATTCCGTTTGGAGCCTTCCCACAGCTGTCATGTTGCCAAACACAGAGTATGACTTCGCTGTTGATTTGAGGAAGTGCTGACTCTCCGTTTGACGTGATGTGCTTGGTTCTTCTTTACAGCATGTATAGTAGATACTTCAAAGGAAAAGTGAGGTTTGGGTAGATTCGCAGCTGTTTAACAGCCATATTCAAGGAATATGCATTCTAATTGGAGGTCTCTAAGGTGGGCAGTAAAGGTGGCTCCTTGGTATGAGGATAGCCACCGTTCTCCCAGCCCCCAGGATTTCGGTCAAAGATTTAAATAAAAAGACAGATTTGCTTCCCACATTTTCAAAATTATTCAAAACTATATTCAAAGAGGCAGAATCTATTGCACTGTATATTAAGATTTAATAACGCTCTCAAAAACAAAAGCAATGACATTGAAACAAACCAACCACTGTCATATTACCAAAACCATCATCCATACCCAGCATTTATCGAGAACTTATGATGCGCCAGGCTTTCCTGCATCTGTTGTCTCTGGCGAGCTTCACAGAAAGCCTAGGAGCAGGTATAGTAGGATCCAAGCAAAGCTGCCATGCAGATGACCCTCTCCTGTAACGTCTGGACACACTAGATTCTGCTCCATGAAGTCGCTCAGAGACTCCCGTTCCTTCCCTTTGGTTGCTCTGCACCCCTCAGGTGTCGTCTTTAGCTGCAAGGCTGAAATTAGGTCACTATCGCATCTATATTCTGGCCCCAAAAAGGGGGAAAGAAAAGAAAACCAGAGTAAGAAGCCATTTTATTTCAAGCAAGCATTGCAGAGGTTGTACTTACCATTTCTACTCATACTCTGTTGGTGAGAACATGGCCATATTTGGCCAGAGCAGAGGCTAAGAAATGTGGTTGATACCTGGATGGGTAGAACTCAGTTAGGAAAGAAGGGGAGACTGAGCTTGAGGGGACAGCTGGTAATCTACCAGAGCAGTTACTTCAACATTCCAACTTTATAGAGGAAGAAACCGAAGTTCAGAGAGGCTACCTCACATGTCCCAAGACACACAGCCAGGAAGTGGCTGAGCTGCCTTCCGCAGCCGTGCTGTCTAGCTCTTTGGAAGGGGGATTTTGATTGTCCCCTTCCTCAGCAAAAAGCAACCTGTAACAACCAGGAGGAAAGCTAAAGCAAGGAAATGAGGCATTACCCACAAGCTTAATATCAGAGTCAAGATGAGATTTCTCAAGGCTAATGGGCTCCTTAAAGTGCACCTGGGATATGTGTTTCGTTCTCAGAATGTTTTAAGAGGCTCTTTGAGAAACGGGGGTGTGTACAAAGGAGAGTCACCGAGAGGCCAGTCAGCTGGGGATGCTTGAATGAGTGTCAGCGACTCTCCGTCTCTCTGCTTCCACTGCAGGTTCTACGATGAGATCAGGACCCCGCTGCTCTCGGACATCCGCGTCGATTATCCGCCGGCCTCGGTGGAGCACGCCACCAGGACCGCGTTCCCCAACTACTTCAACGGCTCGGAGATCGTCACCGCGGGGAAGCTGGCCGACAGCCAGGCGGGGCGGCTGCGCGTGGAGGTCACGGCCAGCAACAGCCAGAGGTTCGTCCTCCTGAAGACCGACGTGCCCCTGGAGCCCCCCCAGGCGGCCAGGGGCGGGGGCGCCGAGGGCCGCAACCACGTGGAGCGGCTCTGGAGCTACCTGACGCTGAAGGAGCTGCTGAGCTCCTGGCGCCACAGCGGCGACGAGCGGGAGAAGCAGCGCCTGGCGCAGAGCGCGCGGACTCTGGCCGTGGCCCGCGGCTTCCTCACGCCGCTCACCGCGCTGCACCTGAGGCGGCGGGCGCCGCAGACGCAGCAGCTGGAGGACGCGCGCGGCGCCGCCGCCGCCCTGGGCCCCGAGCCGGTGGTGCAGCGCCTGCGCGGCGCCGGCGGGCGGCCAGGTGAGCAGGCCCCGCCCCGCGGCAGCGGCCCGCTGTCCCGCGCGCCTTACCGCGCCGCGTGCGTCGCGCCCGCCTCAGAGGGGTGTTGCACGGTGGGCGGCGGGTGCTTGCAAAGGGGGCGTCTCTGTAGAGAAATTAGGAGACGAGGCGTTTGTCCCAGAGATGGTGTCCGGCAAAGTCAGTCCACCGGCAGAGCGTCGGCGTCGGGCGCCCGCCCCGTGCGCCGCGGTGTCGGAGGCACCAGGATGAGCAGAGACCAGTGTTTTCGCGTCCCCTCTGCCTCTGTGAGTCCCTCGGAGCCATGCCGCTTACCGGCGGGGGGCGCAGCGTCCCAGAGCCTGGGCATCTAGCGATGAGACCCCGCCCCCAAGGGGGGACCCTAGCTCCTGCCCCCACACACCTGCTTTGGGCAACGAGAACACCTTCCTCTGGGGTGCTTGGTTTGCATTGTCCTGACGAGGTATGTGAAGGACCACGTTGTGGATTCTCGAGAGAAGCCATCCTTTACATGCTTCTCACTCAGAGTCTAAACAGCAACGGCCACGTCCGGTCTCCTGTCATTTTGTTGGGGGAAATCAGTAGCGACAAGCAGAGGAAAGGTAGTTCTGCTGAAGCAGGGCATGATAATCTCAGCGATCACGGCTTGTGGGAAACAGCATGTTTTTTACGTTTTAACATTTTTATTGAATGGCTGCCAAGTTCACATCTCCTAAAGAGAGGGAACGGACAGGAACCCAGGGCGTACAAATGCTGTCGCGTGTATTCCTCACACTCTAAACTCTGAGAAGCACCTGGGTGTGGTAGAGCGTAAGGGTAGGACCCAGGCACAGCTGGGTCCGGTTCCCGCTGTGTGGCTCGTGGCAGGTGTCTGAACCTCTCTGGGCTTCTGTTCCTGGTCTATAAAACGTAGATACTAATGATTTCTCTGAAGGGCTGTTACAAGGATTAGATGTGTTAACATCTTTGGTACAAAGCCAGTGTTCTGCAAATGTTAGATCCCTCTGCCTTGAGGGGTGTAGCCCCAGACATTTATTAAAAGGTTCAGATTATAACTATATATGGATTATAACTGTCTTTTTTTTTTTTTTTTTACATTTTCGTAGTTTTTAAATTGTAAAAAATAACATAAAATTTACCATCAATCACTTTTAAGTGTACAGCTCGGTAGTTTGAAGTATATTCACAGGTCTCCAGAACTTTTTTCATCTTGCGTACCTGAAACTCCATACCCATTAAACAACTCTACCCTCCCCAACTCCATAACTGTACATTACGTATGATAGAATGTTTTCCTTTCTTGTACACGCAGAAGTCTTAGACAGGAAGAATATGCTCTAATTTATAAAAGAATAAAATAAGTCTTCACGTGATATTTGTGTGCTGTGAGGCCAAGCTCCTTCTTCACAACAGGTGATGTTTTTAAATGACCACAACTGCATTTGAAAGCTTTATGTTTACTCACCCCACACCTCTTGTTGGTGCCTCTCACCTCATCCTCCTTAATGTATAACAATGGGGGTTCTCTTCTTTCTAGGACCTGCTCTCAAGAAACCATACAGCCCAAGAATTAAAGTCTCCAAAACCTCAGGTAAAGAAAAGAACATGGTTCTGTGTCACTTGAGGGGTGAGATGTTTCCAGGCGGAGGGCCCGGAGTTCCCTGACGCCCGCGAAAATACCAGCTCCTAGAACTTGGCACGAGGACCCATGGTCGTTCAGCCATGGCAGGAGGCAGTTCTGAGAACCAGGGCGGTCGGTAAACCCTAAACACCGCGGCTGCCGCCCCGAGGAGGCTGGCAAGCCTGACAGCAGGACAGACGGACAGCAGAGGCCCATTTGCATCATGACTGAGTTTAAACGTTACTTGTTTCAGAGACGTGACATATACGTGCTTCCAGCTCCCAGTGGTACGAATATCTGTGATGGGCAGAGTTGTTTATTATTATTATTATTATTATTATTATTATTATTATTATTTTAGTCTTTGGCTTTAGAAGGGAAAGACAAAAATACCATAGAGTTTCCTTTGGCCAGCTTCCTGGGATTATAATAAGCCTCCAGATGGAACAGCAACAGGAAGGCAGGGTTTTAGTCTTGAAATGTACACGTCTTCCTTTGTAAATCTGTGAATTGCCGTGCTGCTGACGCACTCAACGTGCCAGGAAAGTTCTAGAGATTAGCCACGAGGAGAGGATGCACTCGGTCTCTGATGGGGAAGGTACAACTCTTTTGAGCACACACGTGCTTTGTGGAATGCGAGGAAACTTTCCTCTCGGGTGCTGTGTGGAGTAATGGCTTTCAGACATCTCTCCTCCTTTTTCAAACCGCAGCTGCTTTCCTGGTAACAGGATTTGGATGATTCGAGTAGAAATGAAGTGGTGTGAGTACAAGAAGCTCTCAAAGAACCGTCACGTAGTTACATTCATACCTACAGAGAGCCAAATATATGGACCAGGACTTTTGTCTCCTATGGGTGCCTTTTCTTTTTTTTTCCTCATCTACAAAAGACCAGTACCTTGTATTTCTTTATATATCATAGGGTGCTAGACACACGTCACAGTGAGACCAGCCAGGTTCTTTCCTGGGCCTTTCTGAGTCATGCTAGGGACAGAAAGTGTTTTTTGTTTTTGTTTTTTTAAATAGTTAACCGAGAACATTAATTTGCTGAGACTTGAAAAGGCTGACCGTATCCACGTGTATGTACATGCGTGTGCACATAACATAGAGATGCATTCAGAAACACGTTGTGTTTGGCATAAAAATTAGAAAGAAACTAACTCTCTAGTCTTGTGAGGGGAGAGCATTGATGTAGATGGTTGGGAATTATTTTGTCTGTACAATAAGAGGCAAGGCTATTCATGTTGACCAGAGGCGAAAATGCTCAAGCAACAGGGGCCGGCCACACGCTGGGGTTTTCTCTGTGGACAGAACTTTGAGAGCATTTAAGTCTGCGTGCCCCTGAGGAGGGACTTCCATGGCCACCACTGACCGTCCTTCCTAACCCCCAGTGACTCTGAACCCCTCGTGGTCACTGCGTTCAGTTGGGCTTGCTCATGGCCACTGTCACGCAGGGACTGTGGACGTCCGGCGCCATGTCTCTGGGCCGTGGCGCTCCAGTCCCAGGAGAGGGAGGGTTTGCATCCACATCTCTTCCCTTGGGTGGTCGGAGGAGACAGGAAATGATTTTCTGTTGCTGAATTGTGGTGGAAGGAGTATCATGTCTGGATGGAGGGGACCCGAGTTCACAGATGCACCTCACACACTGATGCATAACACTGGTGTGTCCCTTCACCCCCAGGCACCTTCCTCGCTTCGAAGTCGAGGATCAGTGACAGGCTAAACAAATAATGCCTGAGCCAGGAGAGTATACGCATAGGAGACACCCAGTAAATGTCTTGTCTCTCTTGCTCTCTCCTGTTTTTCCTGGTCTGGCAGTGGATGGAGATCCCCATTTTGTCGTGGATTTCCCCCTGAGCAAGCTCACCGTCTGCTTCAACATCGATGGGCAGCCGGGGGACATCCTAAGGCTCGTCTCCGATCACGCGGACTCTGGTAGGTTCTGTGACCTCTGGGCAAGGGTAAGGTAGGTAGGACCACCCCCTCTGTTCTTGAGACAGATGTCCACGTAGATAAGGAGGCACATCACAGACATTCACTGAGGGTTGTTGGTGCTTCTTTAAAGGAGGTCGACTGTGTGTGGGGCTTGGAGTCAAGAAGACAAACGTTGGAAGCCTGCTCTGACTTTAGCCCTGGGCACACGTCTCCCTTGTAACCTGGAGACAGTGGTCCTTGCTCTGCCAGGCTCATCAGATCATTGCAAAGACCAGATTCAGTAATGGGTATGAAGTGGTTTTGTAAATGCACAGATGCTATAGAGATTGAGGATCTATTATTGTTTTCATGTCTCTCCATTCCCAAACCTTAATGGTGGGAAGGCCGGAGTCCTAAAGCCATCTCTCTCGGTTCCTCCGCAATGCCGCTGTTCAGCCCCCAGCTCTGTGTGCCTTGAACACGGAGGTAAACAGGGCTCTGACCCCCTTGGGTCTGTAGAGGGGCTGGGGGAAAGAGGTCAGTACACGTATAGCTCTGGAACCACACGCAGGGATGGCCATGGGGCAGTTCTCGGTTCGGAAAGGGTGTGTTTCTTGAAGGCCAGGTGACACGTGTGATGTAATTATGTAACGTGTGATCCCGGGGCTCCTTTCCCACCTTGTTCTCTTGCGAGGCTTCCTGGCCTTTGAGCTAAATCTCAGTTTGTCCTAACTCAGGCTCAGCAGGGAGTGGGGGCCTGACTGTACCCCTCCCTGGAGGCGCCCACCTTCCTAGGGGCCGTTCCTGGTGTTTCTGTGATCAGCATGGCGTGCCTGATGGGAAACAGCCGGAGATGCCTGGAGCCTTGAGGCGGCCCTACCTGGTCTCTGCCCAGGCTGGGATTTCTCCTTCCCCCCTTCCCCTTGCCCCAGGGAGGGCAAGCCTACATCTTTTTTTTTTTTTTTTAAAGATTTTATTTATTTATTTGAAAGAGAGAGACACAGCGAGAGAGGGAACACAAGCAGGGGGAGTGGGAGAGGGAGAAGCAGGCTTCCCGCAGAGCAGGGAGCCCGATGCGGGGCTCGATCCCAGGACCCCGGGATCATGACCTGAGCCGAAGGCAGACGCTTAACCGACTGAGCCACCCAGGCGCCCCAAGGGCAAGCCTACATCTTGCTTCCCCTCCTCCAACGTGTTGATAACCTGGGGATGGCTTCTTTCACGCCGTCCCGCACGCGTGCCTTCACTCATTCCGTGGGACTGAGGGGCCCCTTCCCGCGGGCCAGATACAGCGCTGGGGCCCAAGGAGGAAGGAAACTGTATTAGAAGCCTTGAGCGTGACGGTGGGATGGTGCGCTAACCACTGCCCTTCCCCTCGGCCCTCCAGGCGTGACGGTGAACGGGGAGCTGATTGGGGCCCCGGCGCCCCCAAGCGGCCACAAGAAGCAGCGCACCTACTTCCGCACCATCACCATCCTCGTCAATAAGCCCAAGAGATCTTATCTGGAGATCACACCCAACAGAGTCATCTGGGACGGTGGGGATAGGCTGGTCCTGCCCTGCAACCAGAGCACGGCGGTGGGGAGTCGGGGGCTGGAGGTGTCCGTGTCCGCCAATGCCAACGTCACCGTTACCGTCCAGAGCACCATTGCCTTCGTCATCCTCATTCACCTGTACAAAAAGCCGGCCCCCTACCAGCGCAACCACCTGGGTTTCTACATCTCCAACAGCGAGGGCCTCTCTGGCAACTGCCACGGACTGTTAGGTAGGCCGCTGCTCTTCACGCTGGTTCCGAGCCCAGGATTCAGTTTCCCGAAGTGAGGCTGATGTTGCCAATACGGTCAGCTTGACTGAGAAACGCAGTCACGAAATCGCATGCCTTGCCCCCTGGCGACTCCCGGGAGTGGGAACGGGCTGCGCACAGTGATTCTCACTGGCCTTCTGGGAAAGTGAGCAAAGACTTTGGGAGGCATCTTCTCAACGTCTGGCTCCTGACTCCGGGCAAGAAGATGCTGGTAAAGGGCAGGGCACAGCCCCCAGGCCCCGGGCATGGGTCCCCCACCCTGCCCTGGGCGGCAGGCAGTCCTCTCTGGCTGCTTTCGACAAATAAAGGGTGAGCTGCTGCCAGGGCCCAGTTTAGAAAGCAGGATTTCCTGGCACTTGAGCTGGACGTGTTTCTGTCCTGCTTGACTGCCAAGCATGAGCCGCCTTGCCCAGACGCAGCCTGGGATTCCTGCGGCCTTAGCAGTGCCCTCACTTGACCTGCAGAATTCTGGTGATGCGGATCAGGAACGGGCCGAACCGACCGCTTTCCACCCCCTCAGCCGTACCCACCGGATGCACGGTCTGGGAGGGGAGCTGGGGCCTGGAGGAGAGGGAAGACCCCAGCCTCTTCCCTAGGGGTCTGGCCCGTCTTGCTCTCCTAGCTCACGAGGAGACGGTGGTTAACTGTCTGTATGAGTCTAGGTGGCTTTCCCGTGTTAGCAGCCGGGCGGCTTCCAGAAGAGGAGGCCACTGTGGACCCCACCTAGGACTCCCCGTCCACACCCAGCAAACACACGTTTGTCCCTGACACGGGACAGGTGTGAGTCTTCTGGGAGAGTCCAGCCTAGGACTGCAGTCAGTTAACCCCCCGCTCTGAGAGCACCCGTCCCCCCCGCCTCTGGGTAACACCATGCACTGACTGGTCACCAGTGGTGGAAACTGACATGAGATCTTTCAACCCATGGTTGCCTGCGCTTGACTTAGACCCGATGCTTTTTTGTGTCCTCCCAGGTCAGTTCCTGAACAAGGATGCCAGCCTCACAGAGGAGCCTACTCACCCTGCGTTCCAGAAGGCAGGCGAGCAGTCTGAGACCTTCCTAAAGGTGAAAGGACACCAGGTCCCGGTGGTCTGGAAACAGCGGAAAATCTACAATGGGGAAGAGCAGGTGGACTGCTGGTTTGCCAGGAACAGCGCAGCCAAACTGATCGACGGGGAGTACAAAGATTACCTGGCAACCCATCCTTTTGACTCAGAGACGTCGTTTGGCCTGGAACTCTCCAGGGGACTCTGACACCAGCAGCCTGAACGCACGAGAGCGTGACAGGGAAGTGGTCTCTGGGGTCCCCGCGGTGCGCTTCCTGTCGCTCGCGCATGCCTGGTGTCTTGGCAGTTAGCTGCCTCCAGTGACCTTCCCTCGGTGGCATGTAGGCCCGGGGTCTGCTTGAGTGAAGGGTAGAGTCAGGACTCGGAAGCAGAAATGTTATTTCCTTCTACTTCCTGCTCCTGCCTCCCCCCTCCCTCTGTCCGGTAGGGAAAGATGGTGGCCCCAAGGGGGAAAGCAAGACGTCTGCATCTCGTTCCAACTGGCTTGTCTGTCTCCTAGCCTGTCATAAGGTAACTGATGAAGAAACATTGCCACAAAGCTCCCTTTCTCTAGAAATGACCAAGTTTGGGCACTCTGCTTTCCGCCTTATTCTAATGCTTAGCAATCTCTCCTCTTAGAACTACCGTCTTCTCCAGATGTGTGGCCAACCTCTGCCTCAGGGGGACCTCTCCTTGGGCCCTGGCCATGGGTCAGGCAAATAGCTCATAGATTTGATCATTGTAAACAATTAAGTCTTTTCTTGGGAGAGGATTTTCTTCCACTGTGATATCTTGCCCTTGAAAGTGAGTTTGCATTAAAAAAAAAAAATTGGTTGAAAATAGAAAATCCTCATCCCAGCTACCGATGTCTAATGGGCTTTGTAAACCACTTGACTGTGCTGATGGGTATTCTCCTATTTATTCCAGTAAAGCTAATAAACAGGACTACCCCACGTGGCTGTTTTTTACTCGCCTCTCTTGGTTGGAGAGCTGACCCACCTTTGACTTGGCACTCTCCTCTCCTTGTCATAATTGCGGCCTTACTTGCTGGCGGTCCTCAGGGAGGTGACAGATTAGGCCCTCGCAGCCCTGGAATGGGACGTAGAGCCAGCACGGAGCGCATCATCAGCCTCCTCCAGGGATCGGCTTGCACGATCTCAGCTGAAGGTGCGGGCGTGCTTACACAGCTGAGAAGCCTGTCCGCATCTCAGAGAGGCAAAGCCAGCGAATTGGGCGCGAGGTGGGGTACTTTGGTTCCAGAACTTGGACAAGCAATCTGCTGCCACGAGGCAAAGGTTAAAATCAGTGGCCAGGGCTGCAGAGGTCAGGGAGCACCACTCTTCTCCTAGTGGACCCCCCATGCGAAGCCCGTCACCCTACCCAGGGGAAGCCAGGCCGGGGGAGGCATCCTCCTTCCCTGCCCTCCTCGCTAGTTCTTGCTTTTGCCTTGTTTGGTCTTCTCGAAGCCACGGAGGTTCAGCAGAGCCTGGTCCTCACTGGGTGAGGAGAGCAGTCGGGACGCACATGGACGCAGGCCCCCCTCGAGCCACACGGCAGAGAAAGATCGGGGACAGAGAAATGGAATATTTTAACGTGAGGCTGAATTAAATAAAAGCTTTTGTGCTGGCCTCACAGGAGGTTTCTTCCAGTCGGGAGAGACTCCAGAGCATGCTTTCCTGAGATGTGGAAGCATACTTAGGACTTGGAGAGAAATCAGAGCTAAGAATATTGTTTATCATATTTGCCCTCCCATGGGGAACATTCGAGCAACAAAATGACATCCACATGTTCCTGTTGGACCAGGCGGCTTCGGGAGGTTGTGAGTGGGCGGGGGGGGGGGGGGGGAAGGCATTTTCAGTTCCCAGAGACTCGGCCTCTCCCCACTTTGCGCCCCCACCGGGCTACGCCCAGCCAGCTCTTGGTTTTCGGACTCCCATCTTCCCAGACTCGACCGCCTGTTTTCATACCAGCGATGCCAAGACACCAGCCCAGACGGCCGGCAGAAACAGCCACATGTCAGAGCTCAGAGGAAGCGGAGGAGTGTGCACCGGGGTGGGCCAGTGCACCAGGGGACCCCCCTGTTACATAACTTCAGCCCCAGATGTCCCTCGAGCCTAGGGGCCCAGCCCGCCCGTCAGCATCGGACGTGACCCACAGTCCAGGGTAGGCCTCAGGGCTCCTAGGAGAGCGGCACCCGGCTGGCTCAGTCGGTAGAAGAGCGATGCTTGATCTCGGGGTTGTGAGTTCAAGCCCCACGTTGGGCATGGAGTTTGCTCAAAAAGAAAGACTTCAGGGAGGGCTGTTACTGCACATTACCAGTTACTGCTGCTTTCTAAGAGCAGAGAGGAATATTCCAGCAAGTTACCCCCACACCCTCCTCTTCTGGAAAAAAAAATGTTTTTTGAGTATCAAGGTTGAGCTTTTATTCTAATGTTTTTACTTTAGACAAATCCCACTTTTCTTTTTCCTCCTCTTCGTTGTCTCTTTTTTTTGAAAAACTTATTTACCATTAAATGATCTATATTAGCCTGAGGCTGTGATATCTCCAAAAAACTCTGCAGCCATGTTATACTTAGGACCTTGTAATTCAATCGGAAAACATAGTATTTTCTGTTGGTCATGTGTGTTGTGGGTAGCAAGCTTTTTAAAAAGTAAATACAGGGGCGCCTGGGTAGCTCAGTCAGTTGAGCGGCTGACTCTTGATTTCAGCTCAGGTCGTGATCTCAGGGTCATAGGATCGAGCCCCATGTCGGGCTCCATGCTGGGCATGGAAACTGCTTGGGTTTTCTCGCTCTCCCTCTACCCTTTCCCGAACTTGTGCACACATTCCCTCTCTCTCTCTCTAAAAAAATAAAATTAAAAAATAAATTAAAAACTGCTTAAAAGTAACAGAGGAAAGGAGGAATTCCCTTCTCTGGTGGGGAAACTGAGGCAGAGTCCAGTTGAGTGATTTTTCCCACGTTATGTGAAAGATGGTAGAACAGGGCCAGGCTGAACCCCCAGAATTCATTCTGTTAGCTTGGCCACGATTTCACCATGTGGGCCATCATTTCTCTCCCTTGAGCACCTATAAATGGGGGGTAGGGTGCTAAGTGAGCAGTTAAAGGAGACTGACCACTGTGTTGCAGTCAGAGGAGATGAATCTCATGTTCTCACCACAACCGAAAAGTTGACTGACCGGGGTCTTAGCAGGTCCCCTCCTGGGTCCCTATGCCCTCCCTCATCTGAAAAAGAGAAACATCTGAATGGGGGTCCTCTCTAAGGGTTTCCTAATTTAAAGCATCCCATTCCCCAAATAAAATGGACGGGATATTCTCTACCCACTCATGCTGGGTGCTTTATCTTCTTCATTCTGACTTTTCAAGGATTTACCACTTCCAGCCAGAGGGAGTGGGACCTGGAGGATAAACCACAGGGTGATGCTCTGGCGCTGGGAGCTGGATAGAACCCCTCCTTGATTCTGTCAGACATGACATGAAGTCTTTCATGGAATCCTCATAGGGGGATGAGGGACAGGATTCATTTCTTTATGTGTATTTCTTGGCTAAACTGGATGGAATGAATATTTGGGCCCTCCTAAAATTCATAGGATGCAGCCTAAACCCCCAGTGTGATGGTATTTGGAGGCAGGGCCTTTGGAAGGGGATGAGGTCCTGAGGGTGGGGCCCCTGACAGGATTAGTGCCCTTCCAGGAGGAGTCGCAGGAGAGAGGATCTTTCTGCTCTCCACCATGTGAGGATGCAAGAAGTCGGCCGTCTGTGAAGGAGGAAGAAGGCTCTCACCAGACACCAAATCTTCGGGCTCCCTGGTCCCGGACTTCCAGCCTCCAGAGCTGTGAGCAAGAAACGTGCGTTAAGTCATCTGATCTATGGTATTCTGGGAATAGCAGCCTGAGCTGACTAAGACACTGAGGCCAAAATATGCATTCTGTCCCCTTGGTTAAGCTCCCCAGAATGTATACAGTGCTGTTATTTAATCGGGAGGGCTCCTGGAACCCTGAGACCATGGTCCAGCTAAAATAAACAGCAAATAAAGTTACATAGCTAAGCAAAGACTTAGAAACATAACCTTAAATATTTATCTTAGTCAGTTTAAGAAGGAGGGTATGAGATAGTTCTCATTCAAGAGCCTATTTTTTTTTAAACAAAGAGATTGATGTCTAAAGACAAACAGCGTATCGGTACGCTTCTGTTTTGAGGGAAAATGGAGTTAGGGCTGCAGAGAATAAAGCTGGATGATTCTAACTGTGCTGCTTGCTTATAGCAATTTCTGAATGACATGAAGATATATGTAAATGGAGGAGTAAGTGACATCGGAAGTGTAACGGTAAAACAACACAAGCTATAGAACTGCAGCAAACAGTCCTGACCGGATTTATGTGACTGTCAAACAGAGAGAAGCGCCTTAAACCTCTCTGTCCCTTAACTTCTGGGGCTCCGACATCCCAGAACTTCTGCCACCTCATCGGGTCCCTCATTTGCACACCCCGACCCCCACCATCTTGCTGCTGTTTCTTCCATTTGCCTCTGGGGCGTCTTCCCTCCTCAAGCAGTCTTTCTAGCCCGTGGTTGTGGCATTGTCCCCCCAGGGCTGAGGGGTCCTGCCGGGGCTCATGGAGATCCCCGCTGAGCTCCGTTAAATTCTGAATGGAGCACCCCCAGGGTCAGGGCCAGCGCAGGCACGGAATGGAACGTGAGCAAAGGCACTGGAAGGCCACATGAAAGAGAAAACCAGAGGACACCGAGAGCCGGGGCGTCAAGTCAGCCCCTCTGGGCTTTGGCTTCTTCATCTGTAACACGAAGGGGCTGCACTAAGACCCCAGGGTCTTTATCAGCTGCCGGCAGATGAAGATACTTCCCAGACTTCCAAGTAACCAATGCAGAATGATTCACTTGATGACTCCAGTGGATTTTGAGATCCAGTGTTCCAGACCCAGGGATTCAGAGGAAAACAAAGCCCGTGCTTCCAGGGAGGTGACAGTTCCGAGCAGGAGGGAGAACGAATGCAAGGGTGGAAACAGCACCAGAAATGCTGTGCGTGGGCTTGGCCATGGGCTGCGCCCTGCGCAGAGGAAGCTCAGCTGTGAAGGCAGGAAGGTGGTGGGGAAACCAGTCCAGAGATGGAGGGTGTTGCACCACAAGCAGGAAGAGCATGTGCAGAGGCAACCAGAGAAGCTCGTCTTCTATAATGTTAGGCGGCTGGGAGCATCTTCCGAATGGCAGGGGCCTTCTTACTCTACCCGCTTTGCACCGGATTTGGGGGTTGCTTCCGTCCCCAGCCCAGGGACAGTCACCGCTCCCCATGGCCCATCCCGTCCCCAGGGCTCCCACTGGCATTGAGCAAACTCAGGTCCCTCTTTTCTGCAACACGCCCTGCACTCAGCAGCCTCTCTGTTCTGCTCCAGCTCTCTGGACCACCTCGCCCCACGGCCCCCCGTCACTGGCCTCCTGTGCGGGAGAATACTGTGGAAGGAGCTCCCTCCTTCACTCGCGCTCGTATCGAAGTGGCTCTGTCATCTTCACACCCCTTCCTTCCAAGTATCACTGGCCACCTCCATTCTCACGGCCTCTGGGCAGGGGAGTCGGTGATTTTCTTTCTAAAATCTCCAGACTCTTGTTTCCCACCAGGTTATGGCCTCTTGTTTCCAAATATCACTCTGGAAGTCTCCTCTGGTCTGAAACTCTTGTCCCCAACCTGGTTCCCTCGAGCTTCCATCTTTCATGTCTGCGTCAGGCTTGCTATAGAGGTTGGTATTCAAAACCTCTTTTTTCTTTCTTTCTTTCTTTTTTTTTTTTCTTTTTACCTTTTAGGTGCTTAACTCATCAGATTTAGCTTCTGTCCTCACCACGTTAATAGAAGTGTATCTCAGACGGCACGCTCCCTGTCCTGACCCCCACTTCTAGCCATCAGGCTCTTCAGCCTCTTCTACCTGACTATGTCGGCCTCTTCTTCTCTTTGGAATCCTGGACCACTTTGCTTCTTTTGTGTGATTAAATTTTTTTTTTTCTTAGTCTCTTTTGCTGAATTTCTTTCCTCCTACCAACCTATAGACTTACCCTCAGGTTCCCCCTCGGTCTCCTCTATGCTCTTCCATAGGGATCTCATTCACTTCTTGCTTCAGCATCTGGCTCTGCATAGATGGCCCCCGAAAATAGATTTATGGGCTTGACTGCTTGTTTGGGGACACTTCCTTTTTGTTATCCTGGCATCAGCTCAAACTCAGGAATAGAAGCAAACTTTCTATCTTCAAAGTGTCTATGTTTTTATTATAAGTGTTTGGGATCTGGGAAGAAAGGAAGAAGTTCTAGCAATAGTCCTTTCTATTTCAGTTGTTGCAAATGAAGGTAGAAGTGTGTATGTGTGTGTGTGTGTGTGTGTTGGATACATTTCATAGGAGTCCAGTTTAAAATTAATTTTTATTGACACAACATTCTTCCTGAAAATTCTCTGTTAATTATATTATTTTCTCAAAACAACAGCTGTGTTTGTGTAAGAGAAAACCCAATGTCCTGATTGCTCACTGGGAATTTCTGGTTATATAAGATGAAAATCACACGTGCAAAGTTTATTGATATGTCAATTAAATAATTTCATTGCACTGCCAGTACCAAATTCATTATAAATACATTTTCGTATGCTCTTTAAAAATAAATGTTACTGGAAATGTATAAGGGCAATGTAGAAGAGACAATAGTCCTGATACTTGAGTGGAATGAATGTATGCGTGGTATACATGTCTGTTTTATCCTATTAAATTTCCAACTAGAAGTCTGCCTCACATTGCTAGAATTTTCCAGCTCTATAAATGTCATAAAATGCTGAAAGCCAGCTTCTAGTCTGCATGTTCATATGGACGCTATGAAAAAAAACAGACCTTTCCACGGGGAAGGCGGAACCAGTTCAAAGTCTGAAGGCTCAGCTCAGAAGCGAAGTGTATTTGCTTTTGAAGAAGGCTGGAGACCAGGAATATTCTAGAAACTGAAAGTTCTCCTCTGCAATCTGGAGGCAACTCTTTATTTTTTCAACCTCTTCAGCCTTTTCAGCCTGCCTGGAAGACTAAAATCGAGCACTCTGAGAACTTGTGATGAAAACATAATATAAAACTGTGTGTATTACTGATGAGCCATAACATTTTTTTTATTGTTCATGCAACCTTCCCAGAAGACAAAATATTTCAAAACTAACATGTTCACCTATTCTTTCATTTAACCAGTATTTAGTGGGCACTAACTATGTGGAGGGGATAGAGTGCACCCCTGGAGATAACATTTCATGCAATTAGTTGTAAAAGATGGACAGCCGTGTGCCCACACAAAGGTTCAGATAAAATGTATGCAAGTTTGAAAAGGAAGGGCCTGTTTTCGGCCTGTCGGGGGAAGGGGCACTTGCATTGGGTCTAGTCTTACAGAACTGGGGAAGCTTGAGGGGAAAACTAGGAGTATTTTATGTAAGAACTTATGTTTTTGTTTTGTTTTGTTTTGTTTTAAAGATTTTATTTATTTATTTATTTGACAGAGACAGCGATAGCGAGAGCGGGAACACAAGCAGGGGGAGTGGGAGAGGGAGAAGCAGGCTTCCCCCCGAGGAGGGAGCCCGATGTGGGACTCGATCCCAGGACCCTGGGATCATGACCTGAGCCGAAGGCAGATGCTTAACGACTGAGCCACCCAGGCGCCCCAAGAACTTATGTTTTTTGTTTGTTTGTTTTAAGATTTATCCATCTGTTTTAGAGAGAGAGAGAGTCTGAGCAGGGGGGAGGGGCAGAGGGAGAGGGAAAAGCAGACTCCCCCCTGAGCATGGAGCCGGGTGCAATGTGGGGCTCTATCCCCTGGGATCACAACCTGCGCTGGATCAAGTGTTGGATGCTTAGCCGGCTGCACCAGCCAGGTGCCCCCCAGAACTTATTATTCTTTTTTCTTTAAAAAAGGATTTATTTATTTCTTTGAGAGAGAAAGAGAGAGCATGAGCAGGGGAGGGGCTGAGCGAGAGAATCTCAAGCAGACTCCATGCTGAGCCCAGAGCCCGATGCAACATGGGGCTCGATCTCATGACCCTGAGATCACAACCTGAGCTGAAACCAAGAGTTGGATGCTTAACCGACGGCACCACCCAGGCACCCTCCAGAACTTTAATTATTCTTAATAAAAACACTAAGGTAAAGGAAAATAAGTTGTGTAAAAGAACTAAAACTCCAGAGACTTCGAATGCCTCACTCTCATCACAGAGCTGCTCTTTGAGCATAGGCCGGTCTGACCACAGTGCCTTTGCTCATCTGGTGACCCTGGCATGCTCTGGACACCACAAAGGCGGCTTCTGCTGCGACTCCGGTGGATCGCTGGAGCCCACGTCCAGCACCCACCCTGGGGGATCAGCTTCGTGTCACAGAGCAAGGACAGAAGAAAGGACGGCGCAGGGCGGCCCGGTGCGGTAAGTCGAGCATCACCCTCTGAAAGCAGGTGTCCATGGTAGGAAGGCTGGGCTGCTTTCTGGCTCTGGTCCAGGCGCCAAAGGGGCAGGGGATGTGCTGGGCTGGAGGCCACAGGATCACTCCAAGCACATCTTTCTCCCTTTACCTTAGAAACCACCGGGGAAGCAGCTCTCTGAAGCAGATCCTTGTGGGCTGGAGGGACATGGAAGCAGGTCTGGGGAGCTCGGGTACGGGGAGCAGCTGGAGAACGGGGTCCCAACCTGCAACCATCACATACGCAGAAACGGAGAGCCGCAGAACTCCCGTGCACACTCAAGGGCTTTGAAATGTCACTCGCCCTCCTTGGAGAGGTGCAGACAAAGCGGCTGTGGACGTTGATTAATGAGCCGCAGGCGCCCCTGGCAGGGGCTCGGGCTGGGGAGGCGGGCGCTCTGGCAGCTTCCCTTTCCCACTGTCAGACAGCCGCCGCAGTGCACAGGGGACATGTCCTAGTTTCTGCAGAGGGGACAGGCGAGCCCCTGCAGAGCCCTGCGTGAGCAGGGAGGAAGGAAGGAGCCCACCCAGACTTAGCTCTGGGGCCACAGGCAAGGACGGCAGGAGGGTGGGAAGGTGCCCAGAGGTAAAGTACCTGGAGAAGGTCTCTCATGTCACCCAATCTTGTTGGCACATCCTAGATCATCGCATGGGGATGAGGGAAGCAAACCGGAGGGACAGCCTGCCGGGTCTGGAGCCAATTACAGATTTCTACAGTTCTGCTGGGTTCTGTTGCAATGGGCCTTGCTGCCTGGGCCCATGCAGGGCAGCCCCCCTATGTGTCCCGTCTCCTGCTTCCTCACCCTCCCTCTGTCTGGGGCACCTCACCCCCACCTGAGCCCCGCAAGGGACTTTGGGCCCCATCCCTGCTGTGGGGTCCACTGGCTCACGTCCACACTGCCTGCCCCCCACCAGCTGCTTGGAGCAAAGGGGGAGGGACAGGGAGAAGATGAGCATCTTCACCCTCATCAGGGACCCAACGGGTCTGGACACATCACACCATCTGGTTTTTTTCAGTTGACTTGTATGAATTTATTTCAGAAGCTCACATAAGGTTGCAAAGTTACTTGCGCAGGATGTTCCTGGCTGCTTTTTAATAATATTAAAAACAAACACACAGACACCAAGGAATGGCATAAATGGCCATCAGAAGGTGGCAGCGAATGGTCACCGTGGGAACACCAATCCCAGGGCTGGTGGAGCTGCACATGTTACCGCAGAAAGCAAACGCCTGTGAAATCAGAACACAGGTCACTGCATCGGCACGATCCTACCAGATCGTAGCATCTTGGTGCTTGACATCGCTTTAGTCATGGATGCTCGTGGGCACCTGACAAAATACAAAAGCTAAAATAGGAAATCGCTCTCTACAAAAAAAAAAAAAAAAAAGCTAACCACAGCTGACTCTCTTAATAAAAGTTGTCCAAGCACATCATTTCCTGCCAAATTCAGGCGGCCACCACACTACAGTCCAAGCTAAGGGTCCTGTGCAATGATTTGAGCTGAATTCGTCTGGTCCGGGTCCTCGAATGACCCTCACTCCCCTGGGTCACCCAACTGCCCGTCCCTTTGAGAGAACGGAGCCTAATTCTCGGGACAACACCTGACCCTGTTTCTGGTTTGTGTTCCTCACTTCAATCCCTCTCCTTCCTCCACAGTGACACAAAAGCAGCTCCCAGACCTCCCTGCAAGGTCAGGGAGGGGCAAGACTATCCTTTCTTGCTTCCAGGGTCATGGTGGAAGCTGAGAGCCAGCGACCTGCTGATGAGCACACCGTCCACCCCGGCGGGGCCCGGGCTCTCCCCAGCTCAGCCCTGGCGCCCCTCTACCTGGGCCTGCTAGGATTACAGCCAAATGTGCTGGCAGAAAGGGGAGACTCTCTGGCAGGCTCAGTGAAGCCTGTGTCCCCACGCGGGAGGTCCCGGGCTGCCCTGGCTGCCGGCTGGCTGGGAAAGAATGGAGCTTATTATGTGGGGTGGGGGGTGGAGGGGGCAGCGAGGTGTTACGCAGAGAAAATGGTTGAAATTCTAGTCGCAGGGATGCTGGCAGCCCGGAGCCTGCTGTTAGACAGTCAGATGAACTCTGATAAACCCGGAGGCACTCTCCCCCGCACCCGCCTGGAAACTCTAGCACTCCATGGAGAGTGCAGGGGCCCTGGGGCGGGTGGGGGATGGGCTGGGAAACGAAGCCCAGGGAGGGGGCTCTGTGCATTTCCAGAGGGGCAGGCGGGAGTTTGCTCAGGTCAGCCCATTCAACTACTGGTCTGGTGATATAACGGGTCTGCAGGGGGGGGCAGGTGCACAGCTAGGAGGGGGTCCTGCCTGGGGCCTGGGCAGGCGGGGTGGAGGGAGGGAGTGGGCAGCTAGAAGGCCCCAGGGCACCAGCGCATGGATCAGACTCTGTGGTGGTGAGCAGAGCTGGGGATGGGGCCCCCCTGGCAAAGAGTCCCTTGCCATAGCCTCCTAGACAAGCTGGTGAGAAACCCTCTCCTTTGGGAGAGCAACAACACCCCACATTTCCCTTTCTAGGCTTGGAGATTGGGGTGACCTCTCTTGGGGGAATCCGATTTTGTGTGCCTAATCTCAAAATCCTCAGCCTCCACACACAGCAATGTGAATGCACTTGATGACACTGAATTTTGCCTTAAAAAATGGTCATAGATAGATCTACCATGCGATCCAGCAACCCCGCTTATGGGTATGCATCTGAAGGAAATGGAATTGTTGTCTCAAAGAGATACCCGCATCCCCAAGTTCATATTATTCACAGTAGCCAAGGCACAGAAAGAACCTACCAGTCTTTCAGTGGATAAATGGATACAGAAAATGGAATATTACTCAGCCTTGAAAAACAATTTGCGACAACATGGATGAATCTGGAGGGCATTCTACTATGTGAAATAAGCCAGACAGAAAAAGACAAAAACTGCATGGTATCACTGTGTGTGGAGTCCTAAAAAAATAAAAAACAAAACAAAACAAAACAAAAAACAACAGTCGAACTCATGGGAACAGAGAGTAGAAAAGTGGTTGCCACAGGCTGGGAGGCGGGGAAAAGGGGGACGTGTTAGCCAAAGGGCGCAAACTTCCGGTTATAAGATGAATAAGATCTGAGGGTCTCTTGTATAGTGTGGTAATTCAGTTGGTAAACTGTATTGTAGAATAGGAATTTG